ACATGGGTAGAAACAGATTTGAACAGTGCTGATTTTTTCCTCCTTGACTCTGTCAGGTCCTCCTACCCCCTTCTCTCCAGATCCATCCAATCCCCTGTTACCATTGCGAGCAGAGTTTTTCGTCCCAGCTGTTTCTGCCAATCCACCAAGTCAGGAGAAAGCTTCCTGCCCAGAGAGCCTCCCAAAAATCTCTTTGCAAGCTTCCTGGGCGTCTCTGCAATCTCCAGGTGTCCACTGCTCACTTATCCACCAGGTAAGGACTCCTGCAACCACCATTCCTCCATCTGTCCATTGCCAGACATTTTAGCCTCTCATAGACTTAAGGTAGAGGGGGTTAGATGTTGTGTGGGGGAAAAGGTGACTGCCACATTTAGATTTTGCATTCTGACCTGGAAGTGGGGGGATGTTCCGCACAAACAACTTCGTTCTGTAGGAATTTGCTGGAAGACAGGCTTCTTCCATTTGCTTGTTTTAGCATCTCATCAGTGACATACAGCAAAGCTTCAAGGAAAATGAGCTCATGTTTGAAATTAGTGTCAGCTCCATCACAGACGCAAGGACTGTGCTTTGTTGGTATAGTCACAATTGCACACCGCATTGTGAATTGTCTTTATCTTGGGGGGGGGGGTTTAATAAAACTAGGTATCCACGCAATGATGAGATCCTCAGAACTAGATATACATTATTGGGGTTGAATATTAGATAAACCTAGTATAAATGCTTTTCCCTAGCTTGGCCACACCTCATTTCAGGTGTTTTTCTCTCTAACTTCCAATGGCACACACCTGTGAAAGAAGAACAAGTCTGGGGGAAAGAGGAGCAGTGGAAAGTTGCAGGTGGATAAGGAAAAGAGACTTAATTTATACCTTGCCTTTTGACCAAGATTGTGACTTTCCAGGCTGTTCTCAAGGCCCAAAGCTTTAACGCTGTAAACTGGACTCTTGGCCCTGACTTTGAAGACACAGAAGTGAAATATGGAATTCCAACCTTACTTTGCAGCCCCAGATTGGATAATAGTCCTCTCCTGTCCCAATCAGGGAAAATTTCCATTTTGCAATTTGGTGAAGGATAAGGCTATCAACAGCTACTAGCCATGATAGCAATTTTCAGCCACCACTATAAGAGGCTCTGAGTGCAAGTTGCTGGGAGCCACAGGTGGGGAAAGTGCCCTTGCCCTCAGGTTCTGCTTGTGAGCTTCCCATGAGCATATGGTTGGCCATTGTGAGAACTAGGCTGGATCCAGCAGCATCTATGCTCTTCCCTATTTCCCCCTATATTTATGCCAACCACCTCACATGCACACCTTGCAAAGAAGGTGCAGGAATATCCATACAGGATCTTCTGAGTCCTCCTCCTTCGTTACTATAGATACTGTTGGGGAAACATCAGGGTGTGTGTCCATTACCAATCAAGGGAGGACATGTCCAAATCTCACATAGTTTTAACCAGGCTCTCAGATGTAAGCTACTCCCACAAAGAGTATAAATTCCCTATGTGCAAGAGGCCTGGAGAGAGGCAGGGTACCTTTCTTTTTAGCCTGGAAGAGTCTTTCTTGATCAGCAGTGATTGGGCACATTGATGCGCCCACTTGGCATCACTTCCATGCCCCTCATGGACCCCAGTTATCTGGGTGCTTGAGTGACATAAATAATTCCCCAAGATTACGTGTGCTTCCCTTACTTTGCTACTAAACCCATACCTGCCTTGTTGTTGTCCTGATTCTAATGCTGTGGACAATTAATGTACATTGGAGTCCCTTCATATGCTATGGAATGAAGGGTTGTGTGAAGAGGGGAAGAGAGACCTGCTCCCAGACATGGCTCCGCTCTTCCAGGTCCTGCTATTTTACAGCTGCTTGGTTTCAGCCCACATTCTAAGATGGAAATCAATTGCTGGAGGATGTACAATTTTGGTCTTGAGCACTTGAAGGACGCATGTGCCAAGAGCACTCCAGAGTCCCTTTTTACATAGCATTGACATGTTGGCAGACCAGCTAAACAACAATAATTAAAAGGGGATGGCCTGAAAGAGATGTGTAAAATTAAAAGTGTGGGGAGAATTGAGAGAGAGCATGGAAAGAAAAAAATGTCTCTCTTATATAATAATAGAACTGCAGGGCGTCTAATGATATTGATTGGCACTAGAGTCAAAATGAAATATCTCTTCACAAAGCGCAAAATTAATACCATTCATTACCACAACTTGTGATGCTGGCCACCATCTCTGATAGCTTTTTCAAATGAAAGGCTAATTAACTGGAGACAGATTCATCAAATGTCTTCTAGGCAGGACTGAAAAGACATAGACGTCCATGTTCAGAAGTAGTGTCCCTCTCTCAGATTCTGGAAACAAGCAAGAAAACGCCTGTCATGTATGTAGTTGTCCACTGCTAGAGACAGGGGGTGGCACTCAACTACATTCTACTCAGAGGAGACCCATTGTAATTAATGGATCTAACTTGGTCACGTTCATTAATTTCAGTGGGTCTGCTCTAATTAAACATAGCTTAATTAGGGTGCTGACATTAATGGCATTTGGTCTGATCCATCAGTGCCATCTATATATATATATATTAATGGCAAAGTAATGTTTGGCCAACAGTGGTCCTGGTGATGGTGCTGCACATTGCTGTTTTCAGGAGATACTGCTGATTGGGAACTAAGAACTGGAACAGTGTCCAGTGTGCCTGCTTCAGGGTGGTGAGACGTGAATTGGGGGCAGGCAGCATTGAACTGCTTTAATGTTAACCTTCCCACTGATGCACCAGTTGCAGCTGATGTCCCAGTCCCTCCCTCACCCAACAGCATGACAACTGAGAAATCATAGGACAGTAGAGTTGGAAGGAACCCAGAGGGTTCACCAGTCCAACCCCCTGCAATGCAGGAATCACTGCTAATCAACCACTTTGTTTCTGTTGTTGATTCTTGACCTTGCAGACCACAGAGAGTGACACCTCCCTGGAAGACTGCAGGAGCAACAGTTCAGAAGGCAGCTTGCAGACCACACTGGAGGACAGCTTAAACCTCAGTGACTCGCCCCAGTGCACCCTGGACCTCCCAGTTGCACTGTGCCCAGTGCCAGCTACAGCCACCAAAAAAGCCTTGGTGGCGCCTCTTTCCCCTGCCTCCCGCAGGCAGAGCTTGAGGGGCCGTGGGATCTTCACTCTCCGGAACATCAGCCGGCACCAGCGGAGCCACAGCAGCGGTGGGAGCACGAGCCCCGGCTGCACTTACCATGACTCCATGGACCCTTCGGACGAGGAGGGCGCAGGGAGCAGCCTGAGAGGCGGAGGCAACAACAGCGAGCAGTCAGAGACCCTCAGCAGTCTCTCTCTGACCTCCCTCTTCTCGCCGCCCCCTCCGCCCCAAGGTCTGGCGCTTGTGAAGAAGTGCAACAGCACCAGCAGTCTCCATGCCAACCCTTCCTCCCGGGGCTCTGCAGCAACCGACAGCAAGCAGTTCTACTCTGTTGACCCCAGGGGGTTTTTATCCATGCCCTCGTGGGTGACGGACTTCTGCAAGAACAGCCCCTCTCCGCGGGAGGGCAACGTACCAGAGGGCTCGGACAGGATTGAGACTGCAGGCCACAGCTCCCCGATTCCCTCCGAGTTGCAGCTGGGGAGTGGAGTCAGCAAGAGGAATAGATGAGGCAGCTCCCTAAGACAGGGAGGAAGAGCATCGTGTGAACAAGGGAGCGTGTGCTGGCTGCCATTTCCGAAACAGTTCCAAACGCAGGAGCTGTGGAGAAGGAAACAAGCAGACACGCAAAATATAAATATGTGTGTGTGCGTGCGTGTGCGTGTGTGCGTGTGTATGTGTGGAAAACAAAGACTTTTGTACCATACCTCAGAGACACGAGAGAGCGAAAGCAATATGTGGACCCCCACCCACCCACCTACCCATGCACGGGACCACCACCTCTGCAAAGATGACAGTGGGGCATAGGAATCCAGAGAATTCTGGGTGATGAGGCTGAAGAGCCTCTGGCCCAAGGAGTAACCTGGGGGGCAGCCGTTTACTCCTCTACATAGACAAATATATATGTACAGATATAGAGAATGATTTATTTATTTTTTTTACAGAGAGTTTAGGACTTCCAGAAAAGTGCTAAGCATGAAAAGGGCAGGGTCTTGGGGGGAGGGGATTATTTCAGACTGAAATCAGCAACCAATCTGTGTTTTAAGGGTTTGGGAATCTCTTTTGAGGAAAATCAGATTGCTCTATGTTTCTATTTGGGAAATAGTAATAGTGCAAAAGCTATTGTCCAGCTGTTTGGGGGAGACGGGGCAGCAAAGGACAGCTCACTATGTGAAAATGCTCCATAGAAATACTTAGGGTGAGCACCATTAAATCTTCAGCTGGGGTTGTGTCCTCTCAGTGTAGTTGAGCTCCTCAGGCAAGGACAATGAAGGCTCCATTTCTTAAATGTGAACTCTGAGGGTCTTGCGGCTCCAACTGTGGGGCCATGGAGCACTGGAGGCTATTCAGGTTTGCTTTTTTTAAGGGTGTGCGTGTGACAGCGAGAAGTCACAGGGCAACTACTGGATGCTCCAATTCTCACTGAGCTTTTTTTTCTTTTTGCAAAAAAAAAAAAAATCTAAGAAAGAAAGCTGCTTGGGGGGGGAACTACTCTGTACTGTTAAGGGGTTTGGGGTGTAGAGTTTATTTTCTTTAACATTCAGTACTTTTGAAGAGTCTATTTTAGAAGCCCAAAGGTGCAAAAACCATCTCTAGAGAAAGGTATGTTATTTTTTACAAATATATTGAAAGAATAAAAATGAAACGCGAGAGAATGAGCAAGAGGAGCAGGCCGAACCTCAAGCGTAAAGCGCCATTAGCTCTCTGTCTCCAGTTTGGGGCTCATAACTTTGACACACGGGGATTTATCTCTGGATAATCGTAGGGAAGATAGGTGAGCCTTGTTCCTCCCTAATGCTTTTTTATGGCCTTCTATGCTAATTCAGTGTGGTGGCTCTTGGACTGTGTCAGATGAGATAAGAATTCAAAACAGTCTGCACCTTTTTGGGCCCCGACAGCAGAAGTTGATGGAGAGGGCCAAACTGCAGCTGTGGTTGGCATTGCATGTATCTTTTAAAAACTTTAAATGGCTGCTGCTGCTGAAAGGCAGGAAGCAGGATGGATTGGGACCACGATGCATGCAGGGCGGCTTTAACCCTTTCCCCTTGTTTCATAACCCTGACAGCCCCCCTCAAGCTGCTTTTTGACACAGGAAGGAAGCCCCCCACTGGCTCCATTGAGTACTTCCCTCTGATGCCAAATAGCAACTTGTGGGGGGCAGGAGGAAAGAGTTAAACTGCTTCCCCAGGTGCTGCAGTGTCAGTCATCGTGATTTGGCCCCACATCAGCTATTTATGGTCTTTAAAAGTTACACACAACACCAAACTGCATGTATAATGTCACATGTAGTTTGGCCGTGAGTGAGTGTGTGTATGTGTGTGTACATGTGTGTAAATGTATGTGTATATGCAATACAGTGGGTTATTTATTCACCAGTGAATGTTTGAAAGGATTGTTGCTCGCCTTTTCTGTGCTTTGCAAACAGGGTGGATTGATCACCAGGGTGGTGGCCCGTTGCTGGTTAGATATAGTGGCTGGTTAGACGAAATCTGCTCAGTCATAGGGATCGTTCTCAAAAAAACAGAGAGGTCCGTTTCTTTCTCTATCATGTAACTCATTCCCAGTGATTCAATCCCCCTTTCAGGGTGCCTTTGTATCCAGTCTTGCTTTTTCTACCACTAGCCAAGCCCTCTGCTAGGAAGACTGATTTCTGGAAAGCATATATTATTATTTTTCAGGGCAGGGGTAGGACATTCAGCGACGCAACTTAGTGTTGCCAACTGACCCAGGGGTGGGAGCAACCTGGCAGGCTCCTTTGGCAGAAGCATGATCCACAGAAATCAGCAGGTGAAGCTTTTCCCATCATGGAGATGGAATCTCTCTCTTGCTTATTGCTGCAGATCGAAGCACTGTTTCATGGCACATCTACAGGTGCTGGTGGAAAAGTTGGCAGCCAACTTAAAGGGCTTTGGGAAAACAACAGTAGGAAACGATCCCCTTTCCTGCTACCATGTTTCTCTTCGCTGAAAGGCACATGCCATTGGGGTGGAGGGGGAGAGGTGCATAGGGAGGAGAGCTTGCTTTCAGAGCAGGGCACTCCTGTCCTCTGCTGCATAGAGTGGACCACACCTACCTCTGTGGACCCCTTCTGCAATTTTGGGGCTTGCGCCAAGGGTCAAGGCCCTTTAAAGAGCCATGATTGTAGCCCCCTGTAACGTAAGAAGCAAGGGCACTGCTGGTCTGTATGTCAAAACAGTTGTTTTGTTCTTTATATTTGATGAAGCAGTAAATACCAAATGGAGATGGAATTACAATGGCATCACACCTCGGAAAGTAATACATGTTCCTTAGCGAGTGCAGAAGCTGAACTGAGCAGTGTGTCTAATGCTCTGGGATCCCCTAAGAGATCTGAAATCCCCACCTCTTCAGATAAGCCACTGGTCTGCGTTAATAAAGCAATAACAGCAGTGTTGATTTTAAATGTTTATTTTGTGCTGAATTTTGTGGCATGTTTCCCACCTATTTTCTTTTTCAAGCATAAAACTGTCATGGGGAGAGAAAAGGCAGCCCCTCTTTAAATCACACACCCCCCCCCCTGCAAGGGACAAGGAAGCAGTCTCTACCAAAACATTTTAATGAGACTGAAATTGATCAACTTCATCATCCCCACCCCATGCTGAAATCGTTCAGGGGCCAGTTCATTCTGTTCATCAGGGAATCTCCAGCCATTTTTGCTTTTGGACAGCTGTCAGACGACAACATCAGCTCCCGTACCAAAAACCAACAGAGGCACAGTAGACCTCACACTGCCTGCCAAAATAGTAGGTAGGGATTTTACATTCCTATTGGATGTTGCCTATGAAAATCCCTGCAAAACTCAATGGGGAGCCCAATGCACATCTGCACGCTCACAATATCATTCCAAAATGTCATGGTGTGAACTGAATATATGAAATTGTACCTAGATATGCTTGAAATGTGGAGAGAAAGCCCACTCACACGCAAAGACAAAATATGCAGTGTATAATGTTGTCTGCAGTTATTTCAAATGTAGCCTTAAATAGTGGAGAGGTGGACATGAAAAGCAGCTAGGAATTTAATTTCCTTGTATTGAGAGTGGCTGCAAAGTCTGAGGAATTCAGAAGGGGTGCTTAACCCTTCCTTTGCCCACCCGTTTGTCTCTGTATTAGTGTTGGGCCCGCTTGTGTTTGTACTGTAAAGTGTTGTTCTGCCCTGAGAATGGTCGCCATCAAAGAGTAGAGCAGGGTTCAAACCTGCATTGCTTAGAGCCTGATTCTATGCATGTTTAATTAGAAGTAATTCCCACTCTCCAGTGGTGCTAGGCTGGGTCTCCAGTTGTCATGTTTGAGAAAGCACCATCTCATGTTCACAAGCAGGTTTTCTGCTTCATACATTTCAGTTATTTTGATAACCGTTTTTGTCTTGTGAGCCCTTACATTTTGTTTGCACATTTTTCATAACCTTACAATAGGAGGGTCTTTGTTGGGGGGCTTCTGGCTTGGCCAATGACCAGAGAAGGTGCTTTCCCAAACCTTCTAAGGTGACCCACCTTCTTAGGAGGTTTAATTTGATGATAAAAGCAGTTGTCCCTTCCTCCTAAATAAGTGTCCTCAGGTGGCCCCTAATGCATCACCAAAAAAAGTTGCATAAAATTTGCATATGGCAATTTATATGTTTAGATACAAATCTGGAGGCAGACTGACCAGGTGACCTGTGTGCCTCTTTGGTCTGCTCTGCTGGTGTTAACTATTGATAGGCAACTTCAAAAACCCTGCTCTTTCTCATTGTTCTTTATCTTTAAAGTAGACCTTGATTACACAGTCCTTCAGAGGACAAATAGAGCAGTGTTCTCTGATACCCCTTCAAATGACACAGTCACCCTAAAGAATGCACACTCAGCCATTTAGTATGTGTACCTGGCAACTAATCTGGATGAATTGTTTGGGTACAGACAAAATCTATGCTGTTGGAAAAACTATAATCTGTTATCCCAGCTATGAATCCACAATCTCGCCTGGCCTTCATTTTATGAAATATTCAATGCCTCATTTATCTGAAGGTGCTGCCACCAATTTGTGTCTATAGAAATCCCAGCCAGCTTCTGTTATGTAACGCTCTGATGTTTAACTTGAATTTAAAACACACAGACATCTACACCTTATCAACAAAATCCCATCCTTCCTTCCCAAAAACAGATTCCTCGCTCGCATTTTCATTTCTTTCTACAAGTAAAGGAAAAGGCTTTTGGCCTAGGAAATGTGTTACCATGGCAACCAAGGACTAGGTTATCTTTAGAGAATATTTTGCCTCTCCCTTTTAATTATTTACTAATGGTTTTGAAAAAGAAGACACATCTATTCTTCCCAGAGAGTGGGTTGTTATAAAATGCAACAAAATAGGTTATTTCTGTATGCTGGCTTAGAGTGAAGGTTCTGCTCTATTATATGTGAGAAGGTCTGTTTATGCCTGGTTGGTCTCCTTTCCACTGGGGCTCTCTTGTCCAGTCCCTTTAGTGGGGAGTCACAGGAAGACACAGGTCCCTTGTGCCTGCAGGAATTTTGTCTATCTCAGAAACTGCACAGGGAGGAAAGGAAGTCTCATTGGAAAGTCTCCCCAGTGAAGGAAACAAAACAAAACACAGGAGACAAATGCACTTTGTGTAGAAAGTTTTGAACATTAAAGTATTGCCTTTTGACAATAACGACTGTGGTGTGGTGTTATGTCTCCTGCTCTCCCCACAAGAGGTTGTTTCTGCAGTATGGTAGCAAGAATAAATGTTTTTTAAAACAACTGCTCCACTTCACTGTGAAAGGAGGGGGTTGCCCACCCTTTTCAGCTGATTATCAAAACTAGGAACTGATTATAAAAGTTACCTAGGCTGCACCCACATTATTCCATCTTCCCAATGTTTTATTACCTGTCAGTTTCTGCATTTTATGTGATCTTTCAGACAATGTAAAATCCACTTCTGGAAATCTCATGGAATCTAGCAGAAGCTTAATGTCTCCAGGAAAAAAATAATCCAGAAATATTGTGGGAGTTTTTACATTGCAAGGGCTTGTCCACACTTCAGCTTCTCCAATGATTTCTAGGCACAAGTCCAAGAGGTTTTTCGTTTGCCCTGCCACTTTCCCCAGGAAAACCCACTGTTTGCCTCTGAATCATAACAAATTTCAATCGACTTTTCTGTAGATTTACATTTGTTCCAATTCAGCTTTAAACAGCAGGTTGTGATTCAAGGACCCGATCCCCGCTTGGGGAATAAAGACACGTGGACACAGAATGTAAGGTTAATGGGTAAAGTAAAGGCCACAACTTTATTGATTACAGCATGTGAGAAGGTATTGGCTTAGGCATTGGACCACGGAACATTAGACTCCACCCATTCGTAGAGGGGTGAGTCTGAGGAGGGGTTAACCACCAGTAGGGGAAGCCTGTTGATGCTAATCCAACTATAGGCTCTCTTCCTGATGTCACCGAGGGTCGTGCCATGGCCCCCCGCCACACGGGCATCGGACAGGATCCACGACCGCCGGATTCCTTTAGTGGAATACCCAAAATTGTCGGGGAAGGCGATGGCCACACCTTGCCCCCCGAAACACCAACAACACATTCCAATACCTAACCGCCAAATACCACGAAGGTTGTGACGGTTGCTACGAGGTAGGTGAAAAAAACCAAGAGGCCGGGCCAATTTAGCCAATTGGAAAAAACTCCTACCGGGCCCCCTGGTTAAACAGGGCGACCAACCAGAGGTCCATAGCAAAGTCTCAGGAACAGCTAATCTAAAGGGAGTGGAGGGTGGGTGACTCGAAGAAAATGTGTGTGCAATGGTGGGGATGGCTGGCGCTGCTGCGTTTGAGCAGCAAGCCACGCCCCTGTCGAGCTCCCCTATTGGGTGCCCAACTGGGGAGGGGCGTGGCGCCAGCCCTGGAGTTGAAGCAGGGGGCGGACGCAGGAATCGTCTCCCGCTCACAACCCCTTCCCTCCTGGGAGTAGGAAAGGCTTTTTCCCAGGGAAAGCAGCAGAACATATAAAAAACCTCTCAAATATGAGCCTTGAAAACACGGGACAAGCAGAATATAATGTGGACCAAACAGAAGTATGGCTGAGTGTTGCATTTTTCATGGTTTTACCACCAGACAAAGTCACAAAATTGTGGGCTGCATTTTTGAATCATGGGGGAACAGAAGTGCACACACTCAAAGACAGACTGCTTCAGAGATAGAAATTGGGGACAGGCAGTTTTATTGGGACCGTGCATACACTAGCAGTTTGAATATTCAAACTGTTCTCTATAGTTTTGAGGTGCTGTATCTCTTTACATTCTATTCAGGTCAATGAGTATTGAAGATGTTCTGCACAGTGGGAAGAAATACTTAGCACCTTGCGCAGATATCTTCAGTTCTCACCCACGAAAAGGCTTTTAGGCACAAGCTCACATCCATGCCTTCAAATTGGGAACTTTAAAGCGTTATTCAAACTAAATGTTTCACTAACCACATTTGTGAAGGAAAGGAAAAATTTATTTGGTCTGCATTTTTAAACAAACTAACCTAATTCACATTTCCCATAGATTGAAATGTAATTATCCTTCACATTATGTATTTTTCAAAATTTGTAATTAACTTCTTAGCTAAAGTATTACCAAAACAAGTTAAAATGTGTATTTTGAAAGAGAATAAACATATAAATGCATACATTGGGATAAAATAATATTTAAATACATATTTTGTATTACAATACATATTTATGTATTTAAATTACATTTAAACGTGTGTGTGTGTGTGTGTGTGTGTGTGTGTGTAAAATTGAAATGGATGTGAAAAGAGGTCAAAATGGTATAAAGAATAAGCACATGTGAATTTTACATGGACCAGAAATAGAATGAGCCACCTATCTTTTGTGCTCCAAAGATCAGCATAAGATGGGAAAGCTCAGCACACATGCCTTATGCTGCCTTGAGAGTATTTCTCTGAACCAATATGGATCTCTTTCTAGGGAATGAAAGGCACTCCCTATTGGTCTGTTGCACTTATGTAAAATAAGCACAGAATGCCACTTCTGGCTCCAGTGCACTCCCACCAATGGTGTTAGAAGTCTTGTACACATGGTGTTAGCCAAAAATTATATGTATCCAGTATTTTCTTGGTGTGTACATTTGAGGATAATGCATGTGCAGATAACGGCTTCCTGATAAAGCAAGTGTGGAAAAATCAACAGGCAATGCATTTCAGGTGAAGACATCCCCACCTCCTCTCTGGTGTTTACAACAACGTGCTAATGCAGTTTGAAATACAGCAGGCATTTTAAGCATTTGCTGATTAAGCCACAAATGTGGCTTTATTTCCATATTAGAATACCATGTGTGGTTCTACTATGGAAATACTTCCTTACAAGGTCAGCAAGAAGATAGGGAAGTTACTCCCCAACAATTACATCTTATAATCCTATTGAGACTCACCTCAGGAATCTGGACAGCCTCAGCAGGATAGTAGAAAGGGATCCAGAAGAGGTGGAAGACCAGCCTTAAAATCGGTAATCTGAAACACATGTAATATGGAGTATTAAACAAAGTGGAACTTTCTTCTGAGCAAAGGATTCCATTGTAGGGGCCAAACTAAACATAGCAGTGTCAGACCTGTTTACTTAAATCTTGCTCTGCCTCAGTTCCTGGAGGATTCATTCATGGAACATGGCGATAAATGACACAATAATAGAAGAGCGAGCCTTTGGAAGTGAAGTCAAGCTGTTGGAGAGTCACAGCGCCTGCTGTGACTGTAGAAACCAATATGGGAGAGACATGTTTAGTGCGGCTGGGGCAGATAAACGCGCCTGGCTGTGCTGATGCAGGAGTGCTATGGTGTTTGTCTCTCATATGACATAAATTCATTCAAAACTTTCATCAGGCCTTATACACCAGGGCCATGATGTGAGGAATGCAAATCCATCATTATATTATTTTTTATATATGTCAGCAGCTTCATCTCATTACACCCAGAAAGCAGACTGCAGAATAAGCAGGTGTCATTTTAGAGTCAATCAACTGCCTGTTTTAAGCCCAGTTGCCAGATGCTTGTCCCATTTGCTTCACTTCAGTTCCAATCTGACAGGCAGCTTTGTTTCCTCTCTCGTTGAGGTGGGGTGGGTGTTAAAAATTGGATTCTGATGAGGATTACGAAACTCTGTTTGCCATTGTGAAAGTACTTTACAGGGAGTGGAACGTAAGACTTCTGATTCTGCCAGAAGCCAGAATTTGAACTGCATATACTTCGGGCTCTTGGATTCCCCACAACAAGAATCTTCAGGCTACAGAAAATCTGGAAAAGCAGCTAATATCTCTGGGGAGACCGCAGTTTCTATCCCCCAGATATCACTGGGCCAAGCAGAACTTCTCAAGCATGTGATCATTCTGATCACATTCGTTACAGCAGAGCCAAATTCAAACTCGGAACCCATTTTTAGTTAGCTTCCAGTGGTGAGGTGGTTGAAGGCCATTGTCCTCAGGACCTGCTTGCAGGCTTCCCATAGGCATCTGGTTGGCCACTGTGAACAGAATACAGAGGTGTTGATCTGATTCAACCAGATGTTTATTATATTGTTTAAATATTTTACCTGTTGTTTTGCACTGGAGAAAGCAAAACTTGTTTGCAAAAGTGGTATGGAAGCAATGAGATTTTGCTCTTTGTTACTACACCTCTGGTTCAGCTTTGTCTGCAATTTGATAGCCATGCTGAAGAACAAAGGCTTTATAACTGTGGTGGTGCTGTCTTATTGCAGAGCCTGACCACTCACAAGAACATCAGGTTATATAGCAAAATGCATGTGTGACTCCTGGACCACTGGACCTGGAGAAAAAAAAAATCTCTCACCACACATTGACCCAACAGCACACATTCACGAGCACACAAACACTTTTAACAAGGGACCTCCACTTAAATGCACAATCTGTATTACTTGAGGAAGCTTTATGTCACCAGTGATTTGTATCTGCTGTTATAGTTGGTCCAGGTGTAAAAAGAAAGAAAAAAGGGTAACCAGTGTTAGAGCATATACCTTCCATACTGTCATTAGCTAAAATCTTTTCCATTATTCTTGTGGGATGATTGGAGGGGGGAGTGATGCTGGGGATGCAGGAAAAAAAAAATGCCCTTCCCTGAAGTCATCACAGTCAGACCCCACTAGAGATGGGAGAGAAATTTGATTCAGGACTCATTTGAAGCCAAATCGTATCAAATTTGCACTTTCTGAAACAATATGCGCACTGAAACACAGCTATCCTTTGAAAATTGCACTCAGGTGAATTTTGCTATTCAGTTCACCAACCAAATGATGTTTACAAAAATACAAATGTATTAGGAGAAAGTGACCACAAAGTGAATATATTGGGGAAAATAACACACAAGACGCATTGTATTAGGGGAAATTGCTTTCAAAAACATTAGCCAAAACTGCATATAACAATGCGCTTAACTGAGAGAAATTCACACTCTAATGCTGATGAATTATCATTAGGTATATATATTAGCTGTGAAATGTGGAGAACTGAATTTAAGACTGGAGAAAATGAGAAATGGAGAGTACTTTCATCCCTCATGCCAAAATGCCTTCTGCAGAGCTTCCATTTCAGATTCCCCGCCTCTCCAATTCCGAGTTAAGTCAAGTTAAGCAGCATTGGAATGTTTGAAGTACAAAATCACACCTGGATTATTATGTGATGTCAGGATAGAAAATTATGTTGCATTTTGCAAGCAAGGGGAAAACAAAATCTATGTACAGGGTGTGACATTTCTGCAGGCTGCTGCTAATAGACATTTCCTGAACATTTTATGAAATGGATTTTCCATTAGGCTTTGATGGTCTCCTTATGTCCAATCCATCACAGGATTCCTAAGCACACCAATGGAAGGACACTGCTAAACTGGAAGCAGTCTGGATTTGGGGATTATTGAAAATTCTTGCTGTACCTTGTGGGCTGTTGTAAATCATTACAGCTCACATATTTGAGAGAGCGCAAGCAGGGAGAGGGAGGGAACTGGATGCGGCTGCCTCTTGCTTTGTGTGTGTCTTGCATTCAACATGATGCAATGGTGTCATTTTCACACTAATGCTAATTTTATGGTTTGCTGACTTCAGAGTCTCTTTCATTTATAACACTCATCTCAGCAGTTAAAGGACTCGTCTTTGGCATTAAAGGGTCTGCATCAGAGCACGTGCATCTGTGACATGTATCAGCCCTTGTGCGTGCGAAATGTGTGTTCGCCAATCAGTCTCAGCAGTGATGGGCAATGATTATGTGAAAATAAACGCAGGCACCGGAGGACGTATTAAGAAATATGCTGACATTCTTTACAAGGAGAGCAGTAAACTGGGATACCCACCTGTACTTTGTTCCCATGCAGAATCTCATGTTCTACCACCAGACCAGTTTGACCACCACTTCTAAAGGGCTGCCCTTACACATACAATGGGCAGGCAGTAACCATTTAGCAAGATGATAGTAACTACATGGGTGGTGGGAGAGACTCACAGGAGGTCTTACACCCCTGTCTCTCTGATGCTGATTAAGAGGGGTGGTTATCTGCTTCTGTGGGCCTATATGCAGGAGTAGTCCAATGTGCTAGGATTATCTATGTGGGAGGGCTCAGGATACAGTCCAATCCTATGCATGACCAAAGCCAGTTACACGTCCGATTCCTAAATGGCACATCTGCTTGCTCTGCATGATACAGTGCCTGATCCTTTGTGAATATCCAGCAGGCTTAAATGCCCCTCCTAAATGGGAGTCACTCAACTCCTTACTGCTGTGATTTATCTCTGTGCAATTTAAGGCCTCGATTTGCATGGAAGAGCCTGCTTGGAGCATTCTCTTCTCTCACTCCCAACAGTTATAACTCTCCCTGCCTGTCACGCACTCCCTTGAGGACTACAGGGCTGACAATGATGCTCCACTGCGATGGCAGCCAAGACTCATCAAACATGCCTCCCTGAAGCAAAAAATGTTGGGGCACGAAGTGGATATAGAGGGGAGGAGCAACAGCCCTTCCTTCCCTTCTCCCTCCCTTTCCTGTTGCAGAACTTAAGGGCCAGAAGCAGGAGACACACTTGACACACAATGGGTGTTGAGGCAGGGTTTTTTTGTTGTTGTTCACAACAGTTTAGGAACCAAAGGTAAGTGATTCACCAGCTTCATCCATTACTCTTCACTGGGATTTGTTTTTAACTTCTCTCTAGTAGGCCTTCTCTGTCCTTTTATCTCATGGAATCAAGGTGCTTGTCAAATGCATTTCTAAAAATTATTATTACAGGCTTAACTTTGCCTTGCATTTGTGTGGTTATGAAACATCATCTCCTTGGGATATCGTCTTCTTTCTGAGCCTTTCAGAACTGATGAGCATAGTCACAGGTTTATATAGTCACACAGCCTTTTTAAACACCAATAATCAGAGATGCACACAAATGGCCTCTCCAAATTCTACACTTCATTTGTAGGCAGAGAAATTGGTGCAGGTGAGGGAGATTTCACTAATTTGGAAGGGCTGTAGCTTTGCATGCAGAAGGTCCCAGGTTCAAACTCTGGCATCTCCAGATAGGTCTGGGAGAGACCCTGTCTGAAATCCCAGAAAGCGGCTGCCAATAATTATGTAGTTGAACTCTGGAATTCACTCCCACAATATGGAGGCTTTCCATGAAATGCAGATGGAAGCTTAAGAGAAGGCATTTTTGGTGGGAAGTGGGCAGGGAAAGAGTTAATTTCCTCCCCATCTCACCATGGTTTTGAGGGTTTGTGCCTATATAACAATGTTTATTTACAAGTGTACATACTGAGCACCTCAGTTATTTATTATTATTATTATATCAACTTCCTGATATTTGCAAACTGATCTGGGAGCCTTTGGGGGCTGCAGAGAGGTTAAAAAATCATTTAGATAAATACCAAGGGTGCAGAAACAGGAACAGGCATTTAAATGTGTATTAGTTTTCATTACTCTCTCACATCAGTAGCCAAGCCTAGCTTAGTTATATCTATGTCTGACCCATTCATCTACAACAGCATCATTTATAAAAGGGGGAGTTATCCCACCTTTCTCTTTCCGACTTAAAGTCAGTTAATGAACTAGCTAGAGCACTAGAAGCACAACCCACAAAATACCCCAAACAGCTCCAGCAAACAGTAATCAAGAGCAGGATATCTAAATTGAGGCACTCTAAAACCCCTGCCTAAATTAACATTACATAGCCCTGGAATCGTCCTACACATTGTAGAAGTCTGCAAACCCTTCTAGGTCTCATTCTCATCATCTGGAAGATAAACCATCAGGCACGGCAAAATGCAGGTAACAAGACACCAGGCATAAGAATAGCCCCTCCAGTTCAGGCCAGAGGCCGATTTAGTCCACCATCCTGTTCTCTACAGTGGCCAACCAGATGCCTCTGGGAAGCCCACAAACAGGACGAACATGAGCACAATAGTCATCTCCCACCAGCCAGTGTTTGGAAACCGGGCAGGGGGGGAAGCAAGGCGCTATGTAGTGCCTGGAACCTGGGCTGTGGGGCCCTGGAACACCGCCCGGCACATCCCCCCAACTCATGCAGCACCAAAGGAGGCACATCTAGGGCTGCTCCTGGCAGTGTCAGGGGACAGCGAGATGCGAGGGGCGCTGTGGAGCCAGGGGGCGGGGAAGAAGCTTTGCTGAGGTGAGAGAAGCGAGGCTTCGCTTCCCTACCTGGCCAGCTTCGCCTGGCAGAGGTTGGGGACTAGGAGGAGAAGGCAGAGTCAGCAGGATTGCTCCTGCTGCTGATGGTGCACACACAAAATCAACCATACCCAAAGCAATTATTTTGAAAATAATATTTGAGAAAATGCCCCCCACCTCTGCTTTCTCATGTTACCAAAGTCTATCCCTGCTCCTGCTGTTGTATTCCAGAAGCTGGAGGTAGCATACCGTCATCAGACCTGGTCACTGGTAACCTGTTCTTCCATCCCTCTCTTAAGGCCATCTACGTTGGTGGCAGTCATCACACCTTTGTAGTAGTAGCTTTACTAACTACCTATGCACTTTGTAAAGAAGAACATAAGCATCAGGCCCATCTAGTCCAGCATCCTGTTCTCTCAGCAGCCCACCAGATGCTTAGGGGAAGCCTACAAGCCATAACTGAGTGCAACAGCTTCCTCCCCCCTCAGCACCTGGTATACAGAGGCCTGCTTCCTTCTGTCTTTCAAAATTCAGCTTCCATATCCTCCAACTTTACTCTTGAAGAAAATCAGGACTTTCCTACCTACTCATCTCGAGTAATTTGTACTTTACTGTTGCTTACATTTAATAAATATGATCTAGCCTTTCTTTTTTTGTGTGGAGTTAGAAACCTCACATTGTGTGTGTGTTTTGCACCCTCTTCTCATTAATAATGAGATTATTAAAAGGAGTCTGCTCAAATATGAATTCAAGCCTTAAACATGTTTTTAAAAGGAGAAGAAATAAGCCTCCAGTCGTTATCCCTCCTTTTAGAACAGAATTCATGAATTTTAACCAAATATTGCCATGTTGAGTATTAATATACAATTATGCAAAACCACTGTTATGTCTCTGACAAAAATTAGATTCCATTGCCCTTGCTATAATCAGTGATGGCATATTTGTTGTGGGTATATATATATATATATATATATATAAAACGACTCATGACCTAAGATTTCTGTTGCTATGGCAATAGGACTGTTAAGGAGGAAGAAGCTAAAGGTAAGTATGAGCATGCATGTGGATCAAAGGGAGTGGGTGGGTGTTGGCTGCCTATCATGATTCCCTGGTGCAGTCCTCTCTCCTCTGCCTATTAGCAAACAATATGAACCTCCACTTTCCAGGACTGAAAGAATCCACAATCACAACCTGCTTCTGTATGGGAACGTAACAACACTGGCAAAAGGTGCCAAACTGACACCACCAGAAAACAAGGGACTACTCCACAAAGCACTTCTACAGAGGAGCAGTGTAAAAACTGAAAATGCCGGTCATCACATTGGACATGATCACACACCCGTCTATTTCGCAGGAGAGAAAGCGAGAGAGACAGAGTCACATTTGATTAGCTAGAGATGGGCTTCATGCTTGTTCCTGCACATACATTTCTTGCAAAGTCTGATGTGGTCCTTCCACCTTTGATTTATTCACAGAACAAATTATTTGTCTTTCCCCTCATAGGGGCCAAAATCAGCTGGTGGGAGGAGGATTTGAAGACTCCAAACATTTTCCATGCTGGACTGCCTCCTTGGAGCCTGGAGATACCTATGAGTTGGCACCTATGTGTGCGAGTGTGATTGTTTCTATCATCTCCCTGCTGTCCTATACAATTCTCTGGGATTTGTTTTTGTCTTCATCATGCACCAACAGAGAAACTATTCAGATAAAACTGGTCAGGAAATGTGTGTGTGTGTGTGTGTGTGTGTGTGTGTGTGTGTGTGAAAGAGGGAAGGAGGGAGGGTGAGAACAAATGACTGAGCTGGCCAAGTTAAATGCCAGCTTCCTGCAGTTCTATTGGCATTTCTTTCTGAGAAAACCACCCATAAACAAAAAATTGACCCTCAAAATGGGACAGTTCTATGAGTCATAGATGGATGCTCTCTACATGGTTTTTGATCCAGAAGAAGAACTAACAAACTGGTGGTAGGTACAGTAGCGTAATGGGCTGGGCTGGGGTTTAAAGCCAGTTGTGAAATTGCATTAAAGTGGCAGAACAGATGGATTAAACAAAAAGGCTATATGCTTTCTGGAATGGCACTCACAGAATCGCTGCCACCAGCTAATTGAAGAAAGCAAATCCTGGTAGATAATTCCCTGTTAAGGCCAGAAGCTCGTGCCTGGCTATCAAACTGCCAGCCTCACCTGCTCATCCACTAACTATTCCATCTTTCCTTTATAGATCATGAATATAATAGAAGGATGAGACAGAAAGCAGCCTAGTTTGATCCTCCCACCCACCCCCAGCCCTCCGGTTCCTGCAGAGCCCTTTCCCCAATTATATTCTCCAGCACTTTGAACAGCCTAAGGAGCCTGAGCTCTGTGGATTGCCCTAATTCCCCTTGAGGACTATTCTGTCACATTAGCAAATGCTTCCTGATCTATCTCCAGCCACATTTTCTCTTTGATTAATTTTGCCCACACCTCCTTCATGCCCATTATGCCCAAAAGGATGCTTCCCCTTGAGGTTTTTCATTGGTTTGTTTAGATTTCTAAACAAACTGTGCTTTTTGTTTCAGGAGGTGTTTTTTTCCACACTGCCACAAAGGTTTAAATCCTTTTGGCTCAGGTGAGGAATGAGTATTTGACAATTGCTTAACCCTGTTTTTTTATAAGGGAGTGGGGGGAGGGAGGGAGAGAGAAACTAGGCAAGAATGTCATCTGAATCATTACTGTCTGGCTATATCCCAAAGGATCCATAACAGAGGTAGGCCGCAGGCTTCTGGCTGCCCTCAGCCTTACTGAATGCCTCCCCATCTCCTGTTCCTTCCCTTACTGAGGAAAGAGCAATTTAGCTGCCACCACTGACACAAGGAGAAGCTCTCCAGCCGTTCTGGCTCATCTAACTCATACCCTTCAACATTCTTCAGATGAAAATAGAGAGATTGCTCACTCCCCTCAAAACTGACCCTCCTCAACCACCCATTTTTGGTGTCCCCCTCTCACAGAGCAATTCCTATCAGAAGAAAGGACAGTGTCGCCACTACCACACCAATGGGACAGAGCATGCAGGGCCTCCGCTGCTCTGAGAAAACCCCTTAATCCTGATTTCGTTTCATTTCATTCTTTGGTAGATTTACAAAAAGAAGAACACACACCAATTAATACATTTTAAAATGGGGCAAGATTGGATGCGGATGCACAAACCTTTTTATAAACAAACAAAAAACAAAATAAATATTCCTTGCACTCCACTCTGCTCCCCATTTTCTTTGTCCGCAGGGCTGCCCTGACCTCTGCCTGCCCCCTCCCCCCAATATTTTATTCAAGTTGGCACCTTTGGAGACAGGAGGATTCCTTTCCCCTTGTCGCTAGGTACCTTTTGCTGTAAAATTAACCCCCTCACAGCCCACACTATATATCAACTTGAACCACCAGTGCTGCTCCTCCTATCCTGCCTAGTTTGGCCCTGACTGTCTCGGGAAAGAGGGAGTCTCAAAATTGTGTTATCACAATTGACATCTTCTTGCAGAAGATTTCTTGCTGGATTGTGAGGAAAACATGCCCTTGGCTATGCTCATCCTTTATCACAGGAGCAATAGCGAGAGTTCAGGTTTCCCAAGTGAACTGTGCTTTCTTTGGCCCTCCCGACTGCAGCTGCGGAGACAAACGGCCAAGGAAAGGGCAATTTGTTTTGGAAACCCAATTTGTTCCTTCCCTTCACAATGAAAGGATACAAGTTGCCACGGGGGGAATCTTCAGCAAGAAATATGCAGTGAGAAAGGAATGTGGTATCTGGATTTTTTTGTTTGTACTAGAAGCAGCTAAGCAGAAGGCCATGCTGGTGCCCAGACTATTAATTCAGGTCTGTCATTTTCATTTGTGTTTTATGTGTGCAATTATACCACTCTTCCGTCAGCTATCAGCTTGGCAAGCTCATGCTAACATTAATCCCAAAGGTCTTTCCATATATTTGATCTGATTCAGTCCTTAGCAGTAAATGTGCCCTAACTAATCCAGCACCAGTGTGATATCTTTTGGGGAAGGCTTGTATCTCAGCAGGACAGAATCTGCTATGCATGCAGGATGTCCCGTGTTCAGTCTCCAGAGACTCTAGGTCAAACTGGGAGAGAACCCTGCTTGAAACCCGGTGTATGCAGTTTTGCTGCCATTTGAACCAGAGGCTAGATGAGCCGCTCTTTAAATAGTGCTGGGTGAGCACAGGAGCATTGGAGCAGCACCGCAGGGATGCGTTACTGTGATCGTAATTGAAAACAAACCAGGCAGTTGTGTAAAGGAATAAGACTGTCACCACCAACCTGGTGCCCTCCAGCTCTGCTGACTGAGGCTAAGGGGAGTTGAAACCCAAAACAGCTGGAGAACCCCGGGTTGACACAGCCTGGCGTAGTTCATTGACAAAATGCCAGACAGAAATGAATACAGGTCCTTTGAAATTTGTTGGATAAAGCAGTCTCTTCTGGTAGCTGAAACTTACAGTTTTATTGAAATGGGGGGCTCTATCCCCCATTAAATCTATGTTTTCCTTAAGTGGCTAGAAGTGTAATGATCTTATGTGAACAAAGAGGTTTACAGCAACTCAGAGTATACATACCTTCTGCATGAAGTGGAAAATGAACACTGCACAAATGTAGCTAACCAATTAAAAAAACACACACACTGAAGAACCACGTTTCCCCTTCAAGAATAAAATAGAAAGTATGAGCCCATGTTTCCCATAATCTCAATGACTCAGACTTAATTATGCAATACTAATAATAAATCATGTTGTCCCAGTCTTAAATTCTGAAGAAGCACATTTCTGTACCACAACTTGATTAGACAAAGCTGTATATTTTTTAGTACCAAAGAAAATTTAAATCTACAGTGCTAGTTTACTCAGCCTTCAAAGTCCTACAAAACTTGCTAGATCTGGTACCAAGGCAAGAAAGTTGTTATTCTACAAGCCAAGTAGTTTGAGGCAGAGCTGGTCCAATTGGACAGAGAATAAGAGGTTAGCTGAAAGACCAATATTTTTAGGGACATCAATAATACAATAGTGTGCAGTCCCACTGGTGCCACACAAGGCCACAGGAATTCATGCTTGAATGTTTGGTTTATTTGGTTTTGTTTGTTTCTAGCATTGCTACCTAAGCTGTTAACAAAATAACCAAGCTGACAGTACAATATAATCAGCCAGCCTTGATTCCAAGATATACTCCACTACTACCTACAAATCCAATGCACACCAAGTGAAAAAGTTGGCATTTTGATAATCGCTTATTCTCTTGTTAATCATGCTGTTCTAAATGTGCCTTTTATATTTGACTGCCTTTAGTAACATTTTCATTCTACATGTTTAAGTTTTTTGCAACCCAGCCAGATGGGCAGGGTATAAATAAAAAAATATTAATTATTAAGTATTATTAACTTTGCTGCATTAAATGTGCATTCTGTTGTTGACCTCATTTGTAATGTTTCATTCCAAAATCTTTAAGATAATATTTTAGTTTCCTGTTAATTCTGTTGCTTTGAATGTATACTTGACTTTCTACAGCAATGTTTTATTCTGGATTGTTTTATTTGCTGTTTTATTTGCTGTAAACCGCTTTGAGGTTTTTTCTTAAGAATATAAAGCAACATAGAAAAGAAATGAATAATGATAATAATGATAATTATAGAAGGCATGTACAGCCAGCAGTTTCCCCCCTTTTTTAAAGGGGTCCTGTAGGTATTGTCATCCACCCTCCCTACCCCCTTACTGCCAGTCTTGCATGGTATAACATTTGCAGTATGGATAATAAGCATGTGCTGGGACACCCCACACACCAGGGCTAGGGAGCATGGATGACACACAGTGACCCAGCCAACATGTCCTGAACCCCTGGCCTACCTTGCCGCAAGTCAGGATGTCAAGTCCAAAGTTCAAGAGTCAATCCTCACATCCAAAGTCCAGGAAACCCAGTCCAGAGTCAAACCCAAAGCACAGTCCCATAGAGGTCCAGGAACATCCAAGCCACAGTCCACCAATATGAGCAGTTCAGCAAACACAGCCCCTCAGCTCTGCTGCCCTTTTGTACTTTGCCTGCTGATTGCAGCATCAGGGCTTGACGAGGCAGGTGACCCTCACCTGCTGCAAGCCTCCTCCAGCTAAGGAATCACACACCTCTTCCCAGAGCTAACAAGACCCACCTGGCCAGCTAGGAAGCTGGTCTGTGGGCCCTTGCTTGCCTCAGCCTCCTGCAATGCCCAGCCTGCTGCTCCCTACACCTCAGAGCCCTCCGTGTTCATGAAGAGAGGGGCTTCTCTGGTGATGGGTCCTGCTGCTCTGGTGGTTCCTGTGCACTGATCTTCATCCTCCTGCCACGTCCATCAACCTGTGAGTACTTCCTTCCCCATCCCCTGCTTGCCCCAGTGTGTCTCAGTCCTGGCTACACCCCTCGCTGGGATCCTCTTTCTCCTCTTCCTCCTTCCTGTTGTCCTGCCAGTTCATGACACAGCACTGGATTTAGGGCAGTTCCACCACACAGGGTGCTGAGCTGAGGGGGCACAAAATAACACCATCACCAACAACCTATATTTGTGTGGGTACCTACTGATAAGATCCATAAAAGAGCAACCGTACCAAAAGGAATTATTGTGAAAATAAGAAATATTTGGGGGGACACCACATTTTGTCACCGGTCAGGGTGCTCTATTACCAAAGTCCACCCCTGCCCCAGCTCCCAAAATTGAGAGTGGCCTTTGA